GTTGCCGGGTCATGTTCAGTCTTTCACCCACCAGCACCCCAAGTCCTTCTCGGCAGGGCTGCTCTTGATCCGCTCATCCCCCAGCCTGTATCTGCACTCGAGATTGCCCCAACCCATGTGCAGGACCTTGCACTTGGCCTTGTTGAACTTCATGCCCTTCCCCTCCAGCTCCACTGGAGGTGTGACCCACCCTTCTGGTATGGGGGACATCACGGGGGAGGCATCTGCCTGGTGCCAGTCTGCAGAATCTGATGCATGGTGGTGGGGTGCTAATCCCCCTCTGACAGTGGGAGTGAGGAGCCTCCATGGGCTTCTACTCTCTCTGTATTGTCCTAGCACTGCTTCTCATGCCTAACCTCGACGCCCCCCTGCCTCCCTTTCAGGGGCTGTAAATCTGGTGGCATCCCAGCTGGTTAACACCCCTGGGCGCCAGGCGGACAGGGCCTGTGGGCAGTCTGAGGGAAATTTGACAGGTTCTTGCTTTGCTCTTTAAAAGTCTTGGCTGGTAACAACGAACAGTGTTTTACAGTTCTGATCTGATGCACCAAACCATGCACAAAATCGGCATATTTACTTTGCCTTTGGGCACATCTTTGCTATCTAAAGTCATCTTTGCTGGGCTCAAGGTTTGTTGGAGGATGACGGCCCGTGGCAGGGCTTACAGGGCTTGAAGGCCAAAGGGAGGTTGGTTTGGGGAATGGTGCCCTAAGGAAACCCTTGAGGAGCTCAGCTCTGCTGGTTAACATAGCTCTTCAGTTAACATCACCAGAGAGACTGTGCTGCCTCTAGGATTTGCATAGAAACATCTTCAAAAGTTCAGGGCACCTCCCTAAGCTGGTTGACGTGGCTCCCCCAGGTACCCCTGTCCTCTTGGCCTCTGCTCTAGTATTTTCAGCCCACCGTGCTGGCTTCCTTTAGAGACCAGACAGCGTGAGCTGACTTCACAAGTCTTTGTCACTGTGGGAGAAGGTCTCCCTGCCCCGGAAGCCCAGGATGCTGAGCTCCTGTCGCAGCCCGATGGGCCGCGTTCAGCTGTCAGTTGTATATCTGCATGTTCTCTGGGTCTACGTGGAACTTAATTTGCATCGAAGCCACATGGCAACACTGCCCCAGGGAGGATTTAGCTTGGTCAAGTAGGACTCTCACCACTGAGAAATGTTTAATTTAAAAAGCAATTTCCTTCCACCTAACAAGAAATATTCCTTCTGGAGTGCAAATTCCCTTAGAACACTGGCCGGCGCTGAGCACTAATGAATTCCTCTTCTCTTTCTTTTTCTCTGCGTCTCCTGGACTCTCTAGCATCTCGTAAGTATAATCTTCATTTTTTTATTTCCTTGTCTGTTGGTGTCCTGGATAGACTCTCCTCTCCTTTCCTCTCCTGTCCATCATATTCACTTGTGCTTTCCCTATGCTAGGGCTGTTTGTCAGCTGGCAAGAGGTTAGATGGCTACACCTCATAGGCCTACATGGATCGCGGTGCAACAACCATCCTCGTCTTCGAAATGGAGACCACAGTTGCTAGCATGCTTTTGTCCCTCTTGATCCTGGTGTACAGAGGTTTTGTGTCTGCAGTCTCCTAGGTCCATTCCTCCGTAGCAGGGATGATGGCTGCCTGCCTCCATTCTTTGGGCTGTGCTCTGGCCACTCTTACGTTTGATTTAGGAACAACAGCTTGTCCAGCCACCCACCCTAGAGAGTGAGGACCTTGGGTTTGGTGAGTCTTTTGCCTGGCCCCTGACTTGCACACAGTCCTGCAAGGGCTGGCTGTCTTCTTTGGTCAGCCTGATCTCTGTTGTCTGGTGAGAGCTTTCCTGTCTGTGTTTCTTGTCCTCTCCAGTTCAAAGCTGTGTAGTTGGTTAATGGCTTAAAATGGTTTCCCAGGGCGTTCAGGGGCTACGCAGAGAGGAAGAGACGGAAACGGGAGAATGATTCTGCAGCTGTTATACAGAGGTAGGGCCCATTTTCTCCCATAGCTGTAACCTTGCCTGGTGTTGCATGGGCCCTTCGGGTGTCATTAGTGACGCTTGATGACATTGAACGTGGTTGTCCCTGTCTGTGTTGCTGTCGTAGGGACGCTAGCAGTGGCTATGTTGGAAATGTGGAGGTGAATGATGCTGCAGCCTTTAAGGTAGCTGATCTCCATCTTCTTAAAGGAACACTGTCAAGTTTCTTTTAAGCTTCCAAACACAATACACAAGAATCTGTGTCTCAGGCAGAAAAATATGTAATAGATGTAAACAAAATTAAAGATGCAATTTCCCCAGCCCTCTCCCAAATACTTGAATTTGTTTGAGGTTAGCTGAATACTTTTATGTGCAGTTGCTGCATCTACAAGTGCACCTGAGAAGTCTGAGACCTAAGCAAAATTAATATCTCTAGTGACTAGAAGTCTATTTTATTTTTGATCTTGTTTTAAAGAATAGAAAGGAAAGAAAAGGGGTTGGGGACTGATTCCTTGTCTGGGTGTTACAGAAGGGCCCTGATTTCCCTCTGCTGGCTTCACAGGGGACATCACTGAGCCGCTGTGGTAATCAGAACTGCTCTGTTTTTTTAAATGTGCCAAGGCTTGTGTATTTTGGCAGCCTACTAAGAAGGGTAACACAGCATTTGTGTCATTGGTTAAAAACTGCCATGTTCACTTCAGCAGTGTTCAAAACAAAGTGGGAGAAAAACATCAGGTTCTCATAACTGGGGAATTGCCAGGAAGATTTTTTTTTTTTTTTTTAGCAACTTAAGGGTAGTGGGTTTTTCCATCAATAATAAAGAGAAATAAGAAAAAAACTGAAGAGGCTGTAAATAAATAGACAGTGTATCTTTAAAAAGAAAGAGATTTCTCAGATTTTGTTAGACAGCGGCAAGTCTCTGTTAGAAAATGGCTTGTTGATGTGGCTTGTGAGTACGGGGGTAGGAGTCGTATACCTTGGTGATGCTGTGTAGTCAGGATGGAGGATGGAGTCATGTCACCCTTGTGTTGAGTGGCCAGCAGGTCCCTTCACCTCCGGTGGACACTGAAGGTCTAGGCAGGGTTGTACAGTGGGAGCCCGTCTGCATTTATCTTATCCTAAAAGAGGAGGTAGGACAGCCATGATGGGGTTTGGCCGTGTCGTGCGAGCAGACCCTGGCCAGCTGTCAGGCCTGCTGGCAGTTAGTGTGCAGCTCTTTCCCAGGGAGCGAGGAAGACCGCAGTTTTGGGTGCTTGTTGTGCCGCCCTTCATGGCCTCGGGTGTTTTGGAAGTTCAGTTGGTGTTGCACAGCCCCTTCAGAGCTTGGCCCTGTGTCTTAGGGAGGCTGGTTTGCGTGGCACGGCACGCAGTGGATGTTGCCTCAAGAGTGAGCGATGCCCAGTGGTTTGCTGAACCTTGTGACCGCTGCAAGGAGGAGCTGGGGAACAGAACATGAGAGGTGCTGTCAGGAGTTTTGCAGAGCGTTGATGTATGTCAGTAATTCTGTCGCTGACCTTGGCTGGGTAATGAAAAGGCTTCTCTGCGGAGTGCGAATGAACCGCTGCAGGCAGAGCTGTAGAGTGTGTGCAGTGGGGCTGCTGTGTCTTGGAGACGCTGGCTGGGATGGATACTGTGGAGGTGACTTAGGGTCCTGCAGACCACGTGGTGAGCTGAAGCCTCTCGGGAGGAAGACTGTTCAGGAAAGGGAGTAATAAGGAGATTTTTATCGCTGTAACTTGAGAGATGCTTGTTGAGTTTTGATGGGTGGAGATCTTGCCAGTGATCATGTAACAGTGGGTTTTCTGGGTGCATTTGCAGGAACCAGGCAGGAAGACTGGCCAGGTTTATGTAGCCCCCCTGCTCAGAGAGCAGACTGTTTCTCCCCCAGGGGTGCTGTGCCAGTGCTTTCGTGCTGACATGCAAGACAGGGGCCTAAGGAACAGTACAGCTGCAGAAAGCCCTCAGAAGGATCTAGATGACCACAGGGTGCCCACATTGAGGCAGTTGCAGGCTTGCACCTCCTTTCCAAAGTACTTTTTTCTTTTTTCTAGAAGAGGAGGGGGAAAAAAAGCCCTTTGTGCCATTCTCTGAGCATTTAGTGCCATGGTTAACCTTGAGCAGCTGGATTCTCCCTGGAGCTGCTCTCAGTAGTGTTTGGGAGATGTGTCTAGACAGCTGCCCTCAACCCACACTCATGGGAGAGACCAGCTGGGTGCAGCACACTTCTGTGGCAAAGACTGCTTTACCCCCCTTCCCCCCAGGGTCTGAAGAAGCTCTTCTGCAGAGAGGACAACTGAGCATTTAACAGAAAATGGATTTTGCTCCAAAATGCCAAAAGCCCAAAGGATGTAATGGTGGCCTTGGCAATTTACTTTCGTGCTCAGTGTCTGATATGATCTTGGTCTCACAATGGACCATAAAGATTTTCATTCTGATGAGTTACAACATATGTCTAAGACCTTTCTGTGTAAAGAATGACCCTGGTTCCCTTAAAATATTGCATTTATTTGGATTTGAATGTAATGCTCAGTATGACATCCCACGTGATCAGTCATCATGCACCCCAGAAGGCGTTGTACATGGAGCCCGTCCAGCATGTGTTAGCGAAGCAAATTGTCTAAAGGGGGCAGGTGTCTGATCCACAGCAGTGAATCTTCACATACCCAAGTAGAGCTAAAATAAATCTTTGTAAAATAACATTAATAGCCCAAGTGCAGATGGAAATTTGTCATGGAATAATGTTGCTCTCAGCTTCGCTACCCAGCTGCTAGTTTTCCTTCTTGAGCTGCTGAATTTAGATCCTGATGACAACATGAGATCCAAGGCCAATGCTGGGGACAGAGCAGAAGGTGACGTGGGTTAAGTGCTCTCCCATGAGGGCGGTGTTTGTGTTGATCTCTCTGTATAGGAGAAGACATATCTGACTTATCTCTGAACAACTTCATGTCGGTGGTGGAAGTGTCTTCTAGTCCAATTAGTTTGCTAAAGCATCTGCATGGTTGTAACATGTTCTTACTCATCCCACTAACTCGTGTATGAGCCAGACGACTTGTCAGTTTACCCGTTTCACCAGCAGTAGTATCTGTTGCTTGATGTCTGCGGTGTATGTTGGTGGGGCAGAAGGGAATCTAGGAAAGCTCCCCTACTCCATGCAGGCTGCTCGTACACAGTCTCACTGACATACCTGGGGTCCATGGGGCTGCACCGCAGGGTGAAGTCACCCTGGTTAGGTAGGGTTCGTGGAGGGGTGACACTTTTCTTGACAGTCCACGTGCTGCATCTTCCCTGTGTTTCTTCTGGTGTCCTGTTTGATTCCTGTCCTGTTTGGTTCCTGCCTAGGTGAGTGATGTCAAACTAAGGGGAACAGGTCCCTTGCACTCGGAGGGGCTGGATGAAGAGTCCCTTTGCCACGGTCCCTCAGGAGTGGCCAGGACGGTCTGTTTTACCCAGACCTGACTATGGGGTGTAGCTGCCCCCCAAGGTTTACCCTCTGGTGGATTTTTCCCCTGGAGCTGTGTACCCTGAAGCCCCACTGAGCTCTGCCTGTGAGTCCTGGGCAGGGAAGCACGTGGTTAGGCAGGCAGCGTTAGCAGAGAGCAGGCCCATGGGGACAGTCAGAGAAGGAAGAAGCTGGTTCAGTCTTTCCCAGTTCTTTGTCCTGGAGCGCAGTATGGGCTGCATGGTTGCTAACAGCACAGGTGGCGTTTGAGCAGCTGCTGTGACTGTGTTTGAGGATGAGCACAGCCATGAGCATGGTGTGTGCATGCTGCCAAGGAGGGCAGAGCCTGGACACCCCACTTTTTTTAGAAGGAAGAGAGGGGAAGCAGTTACTGCCCTTGGCCAGGAGAAGAGGGAGTGTTGCCAGCATGGGCAGTGGCGGCGTCTTCAGCAAAGCTACAGCAAGGTGTGCCTTAGTCATAGGAAGGTGAAAGCAGGCCATGGGAAGGGGGACTGCTGTGTAGGACCTCACTTGCCCCATACCAGCAGCACAGGGAGCTCGGAAGAAACAGACACACTCCTGACAATCATAACCATCCCCAGCACTGAATAGGTGCAGGCTGGGTACCTGGTCTCCAGCTTTTCAACACCCAGAAGGAAATACACTGTCTTCCCGATTTTATTTTTTTCCTCCCCATTTTTTCAATCCTGCTGGGCCCAGGTATTGCTTTGTGTTACCTTTCTCAGAGGTTGTGTTTGGCATTTCTTTCAGGAATTTTCGGAAGCACCTCCGCATGGTGGGGAGCCGAAGGGTTAAAGCACAAAGTAAGTGAGAACCTCTAAGATGTGGCTGTGGGGAGTTGGGTTTTGTGCCAGTGGGATATGGGGAGAACCCTATGTTGTGTGCAGATGTGGGTAGAAAGGACCTAGCATGGGGCCAGACAAAGGATTTGACCTGCTGGTGCCATTTTACCCTACAAAAAAAGAAGGCCCGGTTGTTGCAAGTCTCCAGGACACATGAATGTCTGCAAGCAGCCTGTAAGCTATTTCTGAGGATGCTCTGCCTTGGCTGTGGGAGATCTCTGTGGCCTGAGTGGAAGCAGAGCTGCAGCATCCTTGTCCCGTGTGTGTGGCTTTGGGTGATCACCGGCGTAGGCGCTTGCGAGGAGGATGACAGCTGAGAGTTCAGCAGAGCTGGGGAAGGCTGCCTGGCCTCTCACTGAAGCTGCGGACCAGCTGTGGCTCCCTGGGGACAGTTGGCGCTTCATGTGCCATGCAGACTGGTGGCTTTTTCTTTTCTCCTCCCCTGTCCAATCGCCAACTACACAGCAGGACCTGGGGGAAAGTTGCCTGGTGGGAGCTGAGAGGACGGTGGAAGAGAGAAAGAAGAACAGGGAAGAGATTGGTGCAAGAGAGAAATAAGGGAGTGTTATGCCTCACTGGGGAAGAAGTCACCTCTTAGGCCTGGGAAATGGCAGTTCACTTTCCCTGAGGAAGACAACACTCCTCCATAACTTGGTTGGGACAGCTCCCTTATCGCTGTGAAATGGGCTGAGAATGGTGTAACTGGCTCCCAAGAGCTGAGGATTGCTCCAGAAGAGGAAACAGTTTGTTCCTTCCCACCCCCTGGCCAGGTGTCATTTGTAGACTGCCCACAGCAAAGTGTTCCTGAGTTGAATTTGCATTCTTTTCTTTCTCCTATGCTGTGGGAAGTGAACAGCAAAGAGCATTGCCCTTTGAAGTGTCTTTATTGGGATCTGAGTTAGCACTGCCTGAAATGAGCAGGGCTCACCTCCCCCTCGAGCTGTCTGGAAGTTCAGGCATGCCTCTCTGCATTGGTAACTCTCGGGTCATGTTTTCAAAGCTTTCTTCGTGTGCACAATAGCTAAATGCTTGGTTTTAAATGAAAGCTGAGGATGGAAATCACCTGAAGAGCTTACGATGTGATTTGCCTCCCTGGACACCCGCACTTGGACACGCTGCGGCAGAGGACGGGTTGCTTCTCAGCTCCTGTAATGCAGGTCTGCAGTGAATTCCTGTGCTGCTGATGTGAGATGCTGTTACTAGATACACTGCAGCAAATTTGCTCTGTCTGCTGCTAGAAATAGGTATTAGTGGCTATAAGTGGCTGTTAATCTAGGCATAATGGCTCTCACATGGGCTTGCCAAGTCAGACATTGTGGTTGGCAGTTCCCAGGAATTTGCCTGTGGTGCAGCCAGCTGGGCCAAGCTCCCTGGATTCTGCTTGGGAAATGCTGATACAAACAATATAATGCCCCTTGGGCGGGGGGGCAGAAGGGAGCGCTCGCAAGAATGCAGGCAAGCGAAAACTGAAGGATTTCCTCTTTTGCAACAAAATTTAGAAAATATGTGCTTTCCAGAGGTGGCCCCTCCGTTTGGTCCAGCTCTGATTGAGATGTTACTAGAACATGAAGGGAGAACTGACCGGAGAACTAGTGCCTTCTTCTGGTCATGTATGTGTCATTAGCTGTTGAGTACATCTTCCTGTGAGGCCTTTGAGCCAGAGCGTTTACGCTGGAACAGCCTTAATCAAATTGAGGTTTGAGCTGTGTGCATTTAAGGAGTGCTCCTCCTTTTTCGGTATTACTTACCCTGTGATGGTCCTGCTCAGAAAGTGCGCAGTTTGTCTTCTGCTGTCTAGAAGATAGACCCTTTTTTGCTGTGTGGAAAGGACTCACGCTTGGCAAGTGGAAGAACAAGCACAGGGGATTCTGTGATGTGTGGCTTTGGTGGAAATCTACTGGATGTTTTGTTTTACTGGCAGCAGCAGAGGTGGCTTTGGAGTCTGTTAATGTCGTGCTTTGGTTTTATCCTAGCATTTGCCGAACGGCGTGAGAGGAGCTTCAGCAGGTCCTGGAGTGACCCGACTCCCATCAAAGCTGATTCCTTCCATGACTCTCGAGAAAGTGAGTTCTGAGTCCTTTGAGCTTCCTCCTGTGGCCAAACCCTCCAGCTGAGGCGTTGACTGGAGTTCCACTGGAGTAATGCTCTGTCCCCTTTTGTCCCATCTGTGATCCTTTTAGTTTCATGAGATCTGAGCAAATAACACTCCAGGTATATGTACCTGTTCATCTGTGTGTACCTATAGTTACTTGTAGAGCACAACGCATCTAACCTCATGTTATTGTGCAGTTGCCAAAGGATACCCAGTGGTACAGCTTTCTTACAGCCCTCTGTTCCCATCATCCCTTATTCACTTGGGAGCAAAGCAACCTACCTGGAAGGACACCAGTCCAAGGCTACATTCACCGTAGTGGGGCTAACCTGCCTGGCTTCCTGCTCAGGAGCCCCTTCCGAGCTCTTTCCTAGGCTAGGATAGCTCAAGAGCACAGCTGCCGCGCTCCATGAGAGGTAGCTTTGATTTCCTGGCCGTGCTGGCTGCACAGATGATAGCTTGGGGCAATCTGATCTTTGTTTGGGCTGCCAGGAATTCCTCTGGGAATCCCCAGTAATGCTTGATGTTCTGCTTGTGGGGACCGAGATGCTGCTCTGTTAATGTACAGGAGGAAATGCCAGCATCTTCCCGCTGTCTTTTTATAAAGGCAACGGCTGGTTTACCCCAGATTTTAGTGGAATCCTGTAGGCAAGGGGCTTGGTGGATAGGAGTTTGCCCATGTTGAAATGGATTGTACTGTAAATGAATTTCACTAATGAAATGAACTGACACACTCAGGTAAGCATGAGATCCAGCCCTCCTAGCTGCAGAAGACACCGTACCTGGTTATAGGGGGACATGTATGAAAGGCCACGTTTAAAACATGACCCGATTGTTCCTTTGCAGTTTGATTCCTCCCCACTCCTTCAGCTAACTCAGAGGTGAATGGAAAAGACGTGGTTCAGACAGGCTCCAGGCACTGCCCAGTGGCACTCGAACATCCCAAAAGGCACAAATAGAGGCATCTCGGTTCACTTTCCTCAGTCCCTGGCTTCAGGGAACCATCTTTATTTTTAACCTTTAATGGTCAATTATATTCCTTCCAGATGGTTTTTTCCCCAGGAGGCATTGAAGGCCAACAGGTAAGGTCAACTTGGAGAGCAAATTCAAGTATACTGTTGCAATACTACTGTGTTTGCCTCGGCTGTCTTCACACTCTGGGACTTCTCTGCCAGGATCAGTTTGACCAACAAGGCAGAGTTTCTTTATAAGCACTCAGAAGATGTAGTCAGAGCAGTGTTTATTATAAGGAGACCAGCTTTGAAGTCTTTGGACTTTTCCTCACCAGCTTGGCAATGTCGAAGTGTAGAGAGTCTGTCTGCGTTCTGTCTCCTTCTCCATTTCTGAAATGACAGGGTGACTGTTGTGAATTAGCATTTGAAAGCTAAACTTGGTGACTGTGAGAGTGATGAAAAGTTACGTGTTACATGGCATCAGGCTCTGTGTGCACACTCTTCATTCGTTAAGTGTTTGTCTGTTTAGAGGCACCTGCCCCAACGTGTGGTGTTTGTTGCTCTGTGGAAGAAAGGAGGGCACAAGTCTCATGGCTTGTGGTGCCTCTTGCGAGGTAGCTGCCAGACAGGATCAAGCGGGGAAGACAAGCTGTTCTACCCTTGTAATGCACCCTGTGTTCTGGCAGGCCATGACCTTCAGGATTCCTGCGGCACTTTGGATGGTGACTTTGATTTGAACTGGGAAGCAGAAAAGGAGCTTGAAGCCATGGCGTGTGACGGAGAAGACTTTATTCCACCAAAAATAATGGTAAGGGTTTTCAACTCAGCTACCTATATCTACTCAGGCTCTGTCTGTCCTTTCAGAGCTGCTAAGTTTAGGATCTTCACGGGAAGAGGCAAGTCTTTTGTACAGGCAACTCTTCAGGTGTGTATGAGGGTCACTCAGAGATCAGCCAAGACGTGACATTCAGCATCTGTTATTGCTGGGGATAAGGTGTTGGAAAGAAAACTAGAAGTGGAAGGACCTGTAGTCCAACCTCAAATCCAGGCAGGACTGTCACCAACACTGAATTGAGTTAGCCTGAGTCTCGATAACCCTGACAATGGAGACCTGAGTCCCCAGCCCCATCAGTCCCTCCTTCCTGTTGCTACTTGCCTGATTTGCTTTGGAGCCATATGTCATCCCTTGAGATGCTTTCTGCTCTTTTATCATGTCTTGATGCTAGGCTTCCCCCTGTGCTCCCTCCTGCTCTGCTCTGTGGGGTTTGTCAGACAGGACCTGGTTCTGACATGTCCCTTCTTTGGCCACATGCACAAGTACTCAGGCAAAATGGGGTCTCAAGCATCCAGCTTGTTCTCAGGGCAGCATTGCCAGTCCAGCACAGCAGTACTGTGTTTGAATGGGTCCTGCTAAGACTTGGGAAGAGTGAAGGACATGGAGACAGTCTTGCTTTTGTATGTGTTATATCTGTGCAGACTTAGCCCTAAAGCACCCTCAGGGCAAAGTGACCAAAGAGACCCAAACACTAAGAACCCAACAGCTGGGTTTGTTCAGCCCTTGACACCTCCAGTGTGTCTCCCCAGGCGGCATATGCCAGGATTGTCCATCCCTGGACTCTGTAGATTGTGCCTCCTTGGAAATTTTACATTAACTCCCATGTGGCCGAAGCAGTGGTGTGCTGCCTGCCAGGAGGGAGGGCTCTGAAGCCAGCCCAAGCTGGAACCCAGGCTGCACTTACAAGCCCACCGGTACCGCTGCCTGCTCGACTCCCACCGTGATGAACAGAAGTGCCTGAACTCACAGCACAGTCAAATTGCCCACGTTGCCGTAGCCCTTTGGCCGTGCTGGTGGCAGGCCCGGCCGCTCCAGGCTCTCCTGCTGATGGAGCCAGCTGAAGCTTCAGCCAGAGCTGTCAGGCAGACATCCTACGGCTGGGTGCCTGCCTGTGCCTGGTGCCATTTCATCCCTTGGCTGGTTCCTGTTCAGGCATGCAGCTGTCCAACCACCAGCCAGCTACATGTGCAGTTTGAACAGTCCTCTACAGCCAGAATCACAGCCCCTCACACAGAGGAAGGCTGTGATCTTCACTGGGGTACAGCCATCTGTGGTGACACACAAGCTTCTTCATCCTCTGTGTACACTGGTCTCCCCTTTACAAACGGTTATCTCGAACTCAATCCTGCCTTTTGGGCAGAGTTGTGTGCTGATTTGTTGGGAGCCAAGGAGACAGTGACACGTGGGGGTACTTGGCAGGCCTGGGGGTGCTCTGTAGTGGACCAACAGCTTGGAGGACCTTCCACAGGGATGCAGATAGGCTGGATTAGCTGCTAGTTTGGGTAACACCTGAGAGCAAGTGAATAGGGCACTGTTATCATTGCCTTTGTCCTGTCCAGACTCTACTGGCTTTTCCTCATGCTGTTGCACTGCTTTTTTCCACTTCCAGCTCATTTCTTCCAAGGTGCCCAAAGCAGAGTATGTCCCGACAATTATCCGCAGGGACGATCCCTCTATCATCCCCATTCTCTACGTAAGTATATCACTTCTCCTATCTCTGGATGTGTGGGAGCAACCTTCATACAGAGAAATTGTTTTTTTGTCCCTATCTCTAATTCCTCTTACAGTGATTCTGAAACACTGATGTGATTTGGAAAAGCTGTCAGGAAAGGGCTGGGAGTATGCTGAACCCACATTTGGGGACTTAGGTAGCTTAGGTAGCGGGGCTCAGGTCTAGGTGGAAGAGTAAAGTAGAGTGAAAATTGGGGGGGGGGCTGCTGGACTCTGCAGGCACAGCCAGGCAGCATGGGAAGCTTAACAAGGAAAGGGCAGGCCTGAGCACAAAGCAGAGCTGTGTGTCACCAGGCTTAGGGCTCCTCCTTGTGCTCATCCGAGCAGAACCTCAGAGCTCTGCGGTGGACCATGATCCCCATCGCCCCAGGTACAGGGTGCATCCCTGTCATTAATTTAACCTTGATTTTTCACTAGGAGTCCTGCCTGAGCAGCGTCTGAAACACCAGTGAGGAGTCAGGGGTCTCTCTTTCCTTGTCGCTTCATCCTGACTTAATTTGAAAGGGAAGGCTGGGACTGACAGCCCAGAAAACTCAGTCTCCACGTGCAGCAGGCAGTGAATGTTGCTGGGGGGTTTGGCTCTGCCGCCTCTCTCTTCCTTTGGGAGTTGCACGGTTGTGCAGATGACCCTGCCGTGCCCGAGGCAGATGTGTTGGGTGTAGCTGTTCATTCGCCAGCTTGGACAGGTGTAAAGCCAGCGGCTGGCTGCAAAACGTGGGCCAGGGGGCAAACGCGCGTTGCTGGTGCTGACTCCATCTGGTGGACGGTATGTGCTTGGGACTTGCCTCCAGGATTCGTCTTCAAGCCTTTGGATGGACTTGGTCTTCATAGACCATTCAGTCTTCAGCTTCTGTGCTGAGGCATGTTTTAGGGCGGTAATTACTGTGCTGTGAGAGAAGCCATCAGCTGGTATAACTGTGCTCTTAGAGCATCTGGTTGCCTGGGAATGGGATCGTGTGCAGTATTAGAGACTGTAACAATGTCATGGGAGCTGGTGCAGTGACAGTGAACCTTGATATGTCTTCTCTTTTCGTTTCCAGGACCATGAACATGCCACTTTTGATGACATCCTAGGTAAGTGAGTGTTATTTTCTTTCTTAACTCCTGCCTGTTGACAATGTAGCGGATCAGTGTGTTAGAATCACTCCCCTGCCCTGTGCCTCAGCTGCCATTTGTAAAGGTGTTTCTATCACCCCAGTGACACCTGACAGTCAGTCAGCTGCTGTTGGATGTGCTGCAGTAATAAAACTTCACTTCCATGGCACATTTTCTATGGCAGGCTCCTGGTTTATGAACAGGAAGCTGAGGCACAGCAAAGATCCCCATTTATTGCACCCTTGCAGATGAGTAGGAGCATCAATGGAGGGCCAGGACGGCTGGGGCTGGTACAGTGCGGTGGTGCCTGCAGACCAGTGTGTGGTGCCGCGCTGTACCTTCTCTGCCCTGTGATGTGCTGGGGTTTTCCGCTTTCCACAGCCTGAAAGCAAAGGGTTTGCTCCGACATCAGTGGGAATGTAGGTGCTGAGCACCTCTCCCAGCTCAGCCTCCTGCCTTCGGGACTAAAGTGAGAAAAAATAAGATTAATTTTTCACTTCTTCCATGGTTCATCTTTTCCAATGTTTTTTGCAGAGGAAATAGAGAAGAAGCTTAACATTTATCGGAAAGGCTGCAAAATCTGGAAGATGTTGATATTTTGCCAGGTACATGAAAGTTCTTAAGCGCTTGGGTGTTTTCTTACAAATTTTCTTTTTCTACAGGGAAAATTACGTAGAGGAACCCATATTCCAAAGTCAGTGTCAAGGGTTGAGGCTGGGCTGGCCACT